AATCGGACCCAGGTCTCCGGTGCTGCGAGGCCAGCGTTGTGTCCCGGTAGTCGGATCGGATTCAGAATATGAATGATAGATTGGAATAGAGGAATAATCGTGGCGTGCGTTCTAATGATGATTTTGTAGCGGGCGGTGTTCTCGCTGCGTCTCTGCACGCCATATCGGAAGCATTATTTGTACTTTCTAAGCCTTCATTTTGCTGGAATTCCATCTGAAAAGAATAAAAAGCCATTTATAAAGTCCTACGTGCCGGCACGATGGCGGCAACAATTTATTCCCGCTGATATTGTCCCTGATGGGCGGAGCCATAATTAATTGTCACTCTCCGATATCACTGGACGCACAGAAGGTGGATTTTCTCCAGTTTGATGGAAGAAGAAGGAAGATTTATTTCCAGCGGAAGGAAATGTAGAAACCTGGCCGGTGCTGAGAAGGATCGGATCCCGGGGGAATCGGGTAATTACGTGCGGATCAGAAAGGCATTATTTATTCTGGAATACGGAGCGTAAGGCCCCATTCACACTGAGCGATTCGCAAATCGCGCGTTTGTTGCGCGATATCGCGCAAATGGTTGCATTGAGCAAGCTAGAATCGCCGCAAAATCCGCTCCAAAAAGGGTCCTGCTGTAGCGACGCACGACCCGCGACAGCGACGGACAGAGCCCCATTGCCAAGCATTGGAGAGCGATATCGCGCGGTAAATAGCCGCGATATCGCGGGAATTACCGCGTGATAAATCGTTCAGTGTGAACGGGGCCTAAGAGAGACGTGGGAGGAGCTACATACAGGAAGATTGTTAATGGTACAGGTACTCCTAGAACGAGATCCTAATAGGTTGGACTTGATGGACTAATGTAACTATGTAACTCCATCCTCTCCCCGGCGTCATGGCCGAGATTGCGAGCTCTGCTGCCGACCCTTTTAAAGCTGAATCCTGGACTGTAGCTGTGTCCAGGAATTCCCCCGGATAAAGTCCAAATAGACGCAGCACTCCGCACACAACGTGACCTTTGACTGTTCGGGGGGAGCGCGAAAAGTGATTGCTGTGGATGGCGTTGTGCCAAAATCAGATGAGAAGATACAAAGTCACCAGAACCCCTAATACTGTAAATGTGTCACCGATCCCGAGACACTTCCTGTCACTAGACATGCGGACGGCAAACAAAATCTGTTGTCTGACGAAACAAATGAAAACGAAAAAAAATTCCATTCGTCTCTTCAAAGAAAATTAATTTTTCTGCTGATTCGGAGCCTCCGAATCCAAAACCGCACCCTGAAAATCCAAAAAGGGGCGGCGGCCCCATCGGCCGCCTTCTGCGCTTGTGCGCCGCCATCTTTGAGTGGATCTTGCTTAACACAGGTTTATACCGAGATATAGTCAAAGATGGCGGCGCACAAGCGCAGAATGTGCCAGCGGCCAATATGGCCGCCGATCATTCTGCTAACGAATTTATGTGCGCCCTAATATCATTTTAGTATATTCGGTTATATAATAGATTTGTTATTTGGGATTTGGACGAACTGCCGAAGCAACTGAATTCTGAATCCAAATGCACATGTCTACTTATCACTGGGGGAGGAGCTCTTCACAAGAAAGACATGAGATGCAATTCTTTGGAGTTGTGGTGACTTTGTATCTTCTTCTCATCAGGAATTCCCCCATTTTGGAGCCGGGGGGTTCCCGGTCACCAGATTACCGATAATTGGATCTGATGATCGGAATGATGCCGTATGGCAATCCCAGGGTGTGATCCTGAACCCCTGAGCGGGTACGCTGTGCCCTGTATGCACCCCAAAGCTTCATGTCAGGTCTGACTGGAGGGAATACTTTCCATGTCTTCATTGTCTGTCCTCTCAGATATCGGGGACATAACATGACGAATCTCATTGTGTTCCGTGTAACACGGACACCTCATCTGTCTGGTCACATGACTCCAGCAATTGTGGACCGTCCACATGTTGTCATTCTATTTAGGGTTTTTTTTAGAAAAGGAGAAGTGAGAGTAGTGAAATTCTGAACAGCCTCAGATTTGTCACAGCGGACACAAAGTCAGCGCCGCGGTGGAGCCATGGCTGCTCCGAAATCATTATATGAGGTTTACAGAGATATTTTAGGGAGTTTCTGTTCCGTTATTGTAACATTTACATGAAGGAAATTTGTCATCACTTCCTCATTTGTCGGTCATGAGTTGTATACAGATCTGTATGTTATATCCCTGGGGTGGCGGGGGTGGGGCTCTCTATATAGTAGACCAGCGGTTCTTCACCTGTGTAACCTCCAGACCCGCATTTATCCTCAGTCATTAAGTCACGACCCAAGTCGCACTGCAATGGAACGCACGGCATTACTGTACCATGTATTCCAGTGCGGGCGATTGAGCTGTGGGTGGGAGATGTGTTTGGGGGTGACATTAAAATGAATGGCAACACGACGCACCTCCCGCACCAGAACGCGTAGTAGGTGCGATGCGATAATGGCACAGGACTGTTCGATTGACGCTCTGTACTAGTGTGCACGGGCCCTCAAAAACACTGACAGACACACACAACCACAGACACAATCTCACACACTCACAGACATTCTCAGCCACACACATACTCACGCATACTTTTTTTTTCTTTAAGATCTACCCCCCAGTCCCCCTTCCTTACGAGACTTGGAGTGGATCCTCAGCCGGGGGTTCAGTGTGGGCTGCTGTGATGACATTACATCCATATGTGCATTGCTTACAGCTCCCTCACACACCCTGTAGAGGTGCCGGGAGCCAGAATGTGACGTCACTCCGGTCCAGGCACCTCTACAGGACACGCGAGGGAGATGTAGGCAATGCAGGTATGGATGGAGCTCCCTCACAGCCAAAGTTCCAACTCAAGCTGACACTCGGCACCGGGCAGCATAGTTTGAATGGCTGATTGGCGCGAGGACTGACAGAGCTGCACTAAGGGGAGGCTGAGGAGCCCCTCACCTAGAAAAGTGGAAGGCATGCGGCGACCCACTGAAAACGGGGTCACCACCCACTTTTTGGTCACGACCCACCAGTTGAGAACCAAGGTACTTGACGGTGCAAACAGCAACCCTACCTGACCAGATGTGGACACTCGACATGCTGCACATCCCACTTCATCAAAGTACACAGTGTGCTATAACCCTTTATTTCTGCCACATTAATGGCCCCCCGCCCACACCTGCATACTTTCCACTAATACTAATTCCGGGCTATCAAAATGATGACCAACAGGGCTATTCACTAAAGGGTGAAGAGTTTGGAGAAGTGAGCAATCTAGGTCAACATCGCTGAGCTGGACAGTGAGCTGAATTGGAGAAATTTTCCATATCGGCTATTTACACCAAGATTGTTCCCTTCTCCAAACTCTGCACCGCTTTGTGAATAACCTGCAAGAGTCGCTGTGTATATACCCAGAGGTAGAGAGATACAAAGTAACATTGTTTATAAACATTGATCAGAGGGAGATAGAGAGATACAAAGTAACATTGTTTATAAACATTGATCAGAGGGGGAGATAGAGAGATACAAAGTTTCTATTCGGTTGTATTTGTTCTATGTCATTGTGTGTCGGTGTGCAGTGCTTGTTGTGGGGTGTCAGTGTGTCAGTGTATGTCACGGTGCAGTGTATGTCACGGTGCAGTGTATGTCACGGGGTGTCAGTGTATATCTTTGGGTGTCAGTGAATTGTCATGGTCTGTCAGTGTGCAGTGTATGTCAGTGTATCTCACGGGGTGTCAGTGTATATCTTGTCCGGGGGCGGGGCGCGGAGAGTCAGGCGGTCCCGGTGCGGGAGGTGCTCAGTCTGGATCTGGCAGCGGAGGAGAACGGATCGGAAGATGGCGGCCTGCCCTGCCCTGTGCGCGTTCCTCACTGTCCTCATCGTACCTAGCCTTGCCCGGTATATCGAGGTGAGCCCGGCCTACGCTGTCCTTGTCATGTCCATCCCCGGGGATTTTATGTGGTACATACTTCTACCTGTACGGGCGGTGTCTACGCGGTATATCCCCTCCTGTAGTGACGTCTCCTTCTCTGTGAGGTATATACCGCCCTGTATACCTCCTCGGGGGATTTGTATGGTGTATATTGCTCTGGGGGTGTGTGACGTATATAGGTATTGTCGTGGTATCTGAGGTATATACCCACCTGTGTATATACTGTGTATGGGGCAGGTTATATTACTGTGATTGGTATATACGTCATATCCACCCCTCCCCCTGTATACTCCAGGTGATGCGACCTACCTGGGGGTGTCATAATTCCCTGTATACATTGTATATACCCACCTGGGGGTGCCATGGTGCCCTGTATACAATGTATAGACCCACCTGGGGGTGCCATGGTGCCCTGTATACATTGTATAGACCCACCTGGGTGTGTCGTGGTTCCTGTATACAATGTATATACCCACCTGGGTGTGTCGTGGTTCCTGTATACAATGTATATACCCACCTGGGGGTGCCGTGGTTCCTGTATACAGTGTATATACCCACCTGGGGGTGTCCTGGTGCACCGTATACAGTGTATATACCCACCTGGGGGTGTCCTGGTGCCCTGTATACATTGTATATACCCACCCGGGGGTGTCATGGTGTCCTGTGTATCTCTTTATAAGATCCGGATGAGATGATTTCAGGTGATATTGTGGTTTGTATACGGACGATATCACACCGGCCATCCCACATCTCTTCACCTGGGGAGGAACTACAACTCCCAGCATATGCTGCCACTCTAGACTCAACTGGAATATGGTGTCACCCCGGGTCAGATCCTTATGGTGCCCTGTATACAATGTATAGACCCACCTGGGGGTGCCATGGTGCCCTGTATACAATGTATAGACCCACCTGGGGGTGCCATGGTGCCCTGTATACAATGTATAGACCCACCTGGGGGTGCCATGGTGCCCTGTATACAATGTATAGACCCACCTGGGGGTGCCATGGTGCCCTGTATACAATGTATAGACCCACCTGGGGGTGCCATGGTGCCCTGTATACAATGTATAGACCCACCTGGGGGTGCCATGGTGCCCTGTATACAATGTATAGACCCACCTGGGGGTGCCATGGTGCCCTGTATACAATGTATAGACCCACCTGGGGGTGCCATGGTGCCCTGTATACAATGTATAGACCCACCTGGGGGTGCCATGGTGCCCTGTATACAATGTATAGACCCACCTGGGGGTGCCATGGTGCCCTGTATACAATGTATAGACCCACCTGGGGGTGCCATGGTGCCCTGTATACAATGTATAGACCCACCTGGGGGTGCCATGGTGCCCTGTATACAATGTATAGACCCACCTGGGGGTGCCATGGTGCCCTGTATACAATGTATAGACCCACCTGGGGGTGCCATGGTGCCCTGTATACAATGTATAGACCCACCTGGGGGTGCCATGGTGCCCTGTATACAATGTATAGACCCACCTGGGGGTGCCATGGTGCCCTGTATACAATGTATAGACCCACCTGGGGGTGCCATGGTGCCCTGTATACAATGTATAGACCCACCTGGGGGTGCCATGGTGCCCTGTATACAATGTATAGACCCACCTGGGGGTGCCATGGTGCCCTGTATACAATGTATAGACCCACCTGGGGGTGCCATGGTGCCCTGTATACAATGTATAGACCCACCTGGGGGTGCCATGGTGCCCTGTATACAATGTATAGACCCACCTGGGGGTGCCATGGTGCCCTGTATACAATGTATAGACCCACCTGGGGGTGCCATGGTGCCCTGTATACAATGTATAGACCCACCTGGGGGTGCCATGGTGCCCTGTATACAATGTATAGACCCACCTGGGGGTGCCATGGTGCCCTGTATACAATGTATAGACCCACCTGGGGGTGCCATGGTGCCCTGTATACAATGTATAGACCCACCTGGGGGTGCCATGGTGCCCTGTATACAATGTATAGACCCACCTGGGGGTGCCATGGTGCCCTGTATACAATGTATAGACCCACCTGGGGGTGCCATGGTGCCCTGTATACAATGTATAGACCCACCTGGGGGTGCCATGGTGCCCTGTATACAATGTATAGACCCACCTGGGGGTGCCATGGTGCCCTGTATACAATGTATAGACCCACCTGGGGGTGCCATGGTGCCCTGTATACAATGTATAGACCCACCTGGGGGTGCCATGGTGCCCTGTATACAATGTATAGACCCACCTGGGGGTGCCATGGTGCCCTGTATACAATGTATAGACCCACCTGGGGGTGCCATGGTGCCCTGTATACAATGTATAGACCCACCTGGGGGTGCCATGGTGCCCTGTATACAATGTATAGACCCACCTGGGGGTGCCATGGTGCCCTGTATACAATGTATAGACCCACCTGGGGGTGCCATGGTGCCCTGTATACAATGTATAGACCCACCTGGGGGTGCCATGGTGCCCTGTATACAATGTATAGACCCACCTGGGGGTGCCATGGTGCCCTGTATACAATGTATAGACCCACCTGGGGGTGCCATGGTGCCCTGTATACAATGTATAGACCCACCTGGGGGTGCCATGGTGCCCTGTATACAATGTATAGACCCACCTGGGGGTGCCATGGTGCCCTGTATACATTGTATAGACCCACCTGGGTGTGTCGTGGTTCCTGTATACAATGTATATACCCACCTGGGTGTGTCGTGGTTCCTGTATACAATGTATATACCCACCTGGGGGTGCCGTGGTTCCTGTATACAGTGTATATACCCACCTGGGGGTGTCCTGGTGCACCGTATACAGTGTATATACCCACCTGGGGGTGTCCTGGTGCCCTGTATACATTGTATATACCCACCCGGGGGTGTCATGGTGTCCTGTGTATCTCTTTATAAGATCCGGATGAGATGATTTCAGGTGATATTGTGGTTTGTATACGGACGATATCACACCGGCCATCCCACATCTCTTCACCTGGGGAGGAACTACAACTCCCAGCATATGCTGCCACTCTAGACTCAACTGGAATATGGTGTCACCCCGGGTCAGATCCTCCTTGCATTTCCTGGACACCCCATCAGGGGTCACAGATTCATATTGGGGGTTTCCTGATGACGGGCTGTAGTAATATTCCCCAGCGTGCTGGAAAGTCTCTGCTATGGATGCTGAGAGCGCACTCGGATATTGTACTGTGTGAGACCCTGTGTGTGTGTGTGATCCGTGTCCAATCTGAGGATGATGAGGAGATGTTAGAATATAAATCTGCTAAATACTTTGAGGGGAATTTATTAAATCTGGAGCAGCTGTGCACGGCAACCAATCAGCTTCCACCTTTCATTTTCAATGCTTAACTGAACAGACTGAAGAGAGGGGCTGATTGGGCAACTGCTCCAAATTTCATCTGCTTCAGTTTTGATGAATTCCCCCCCCCCCGTCGGGGGGTGATGGAAATATACGGCTTTTTTTTCCCCCCCCCCCCTTGTGTGTAATATGACATGTCTCGTATTATGTATGTATGACGCCTGCCTCCGGTATGATCGCATGGTTCATTGTATTTGCAGTGTACTATGGGGTGCCATACGGTGTGCCCGGCGGTCCCTGGGGTGGTAATTATTATAGGGTGTGTCCAATGGTTTCTTGGGGTGTCTGGTGGTCCTCGGATTATACGGGATGGTACGAGTCCGTGCTTGGCTCCCCCCATATGATCTCTGTATGTCTCCGTTACATATAATGTATCTGGCGGGCTTATTGCGTAGCGCCGCGCAGCCGGTAATTTTCTCTGCAGCCAGTCCAGTCCGGGGGAGCCCGGGGACGGTTTTGGGGACGGTTGGCAGCACCGCGGCACTTGTATGAGATCTTCGGGACGGATATACAATGTATCCATTTTATTCTCGGTGTTCATCGGCTTCACCTTCCC